CCAAGGAGGAATGAAATGTGATACTTGGAAAAGACAACAGTGGGAAATATTCAGGAGTCACAAGTAGCTACTTTTTGTGCTATTTTTAATACATCTCAAAGATTTTTAGTCTAAATTTAATGCAGATAAAGTTTAGGGTAAAACAATTGACACAACGTCACACTAAGCATTATGATTATATGTTGTACATAATGAAAAATCCCAATCGGCACAGTCATGAGGAAAATACACCCAGAGTAAACATGAAAAAAAAAAGACAGAAGTCTCAGCACCAGTTCATCCAGCAACCATTATTAGTACTGAGCATTATCCTATAAAAGCTTTTAATTACCTTATATCAAGCTTGGTTCTAGTTAAGAAAAAGAAGGCTAGTTTTGAGGTAACTTTGGGCTATAAACACTTTATAAACATGGCAACACTGTGACATGATTTAGAATTTTTGTGCTATCTAACTAAACCTGTCATGTTCAATAGACTATACACACAGACTTGGACACAATTACTTTTGTAGCCATTCTCACAAGGAAAACAATAAACATTATTAAAACCACAGGGATCAAGTTCATTTTCACAGATATGTTTAGACCTATGCATGACATTGATAGAGGCATAGCCTACAAAAATTATAATGAGCTGCACTAGATCAAGCTAGATTGAGCCTAGACCAACATTTACTAGATCTACTAACTAGGCCTAGTAAGATGAGATAAAACTATAATGGGCCTACATTATACACTCCAAGACAACACTATCAATTTAAGATAGTATACTCTGTTTAATATTAGAAAGGATCAGAACATGATTTTTATAGGTCAGTGGTATAGCACATACATCTCATATATTATACAGTATAAGTAATAAAGTATATATATGGAATTTATATATATCTACCAGCAATAGTACCACAGATTATATCTTAAATAAAAAGCTCAACCAGATAGTTCAACACCAAATATATACAATTACAACCCTTGTCAGTTCATTATTATTTTGCAAGACAAGTGGAATAAAAGTAAACTTATAAAAAAAAAAGCATTCCTCTGATCTATATTTTGCTCCTAGTCCTGTGTTATTTTCCTCATTTATATGTAAGAACAGCATTAATAAGATATCAGCTGCAGTTCCTTTGAAGTTCAAAGGTCTAACATTCTCAGCAGCTGTGAGACTAGTGTTCTAGTATTTACAAGACGTATTATCTTATTATCACTCACAACATTTGTGATCAATATGCATTAATTCTAATGTACTACTTCCAAAAAACATTTTTAATATGGATGTTTTGGAATTCCCTTAAATTACATCATCAGTGTTAATATCTCAAAAAAAAAAACATTACTTCATAATATTCAAACAACAAAATATTGGCTTAAACTTACTCTCAAGCATGAGGAAAAGCTTCAACAGGCTCTAAGATATTTTAAGAATTGTAAAGTCATCTCTGACACCACTTCTACAGAACTTTATCCTGCAGGTTCCCACCCTGGTCTTAGGTATGGCTTACCATAAGTACACAAAAATGTTTAATCCTCAGACCTATGCTACCTACTCTTTTGGTTCCCATGCCTATAAACTTGCTAAATATCTTGTACCTGCATTAAGCTCACTAACTAAGAATGAAGTTACTATTAAAAAATCCTTTTTCCTTTGCTCAAGAGATACACAAGTTTCTTGATGCAAACCAATTCATTATGACCAGCTTTTATATTCAGTCCTTATTCATTAACATCCCACTTGATTCATTTGTAGTTAAGCACAAAACTACACAATGGGCTATCTGTGCTCTACTCACCACGGGTATCGAAAACCGGTTTTTAGCATTATAAGTCCACAGACACACCATTGTGGCACTGGGGAGCACATCCCACTTGAGGAAACAATTAAATAATTATTAAACAGTTATTCCCTACCAAAAATTCTCTGTACTCTAACTGTAACCAACAAAATTCGAACAGCTTCTTAAATTGACCCTCAACAACAATCACTCATTTTTAATGGTCATCTTTATGACCAGATCGACGGAGTGGCGATGGGATCACCTCTAGGTCCGATCCTTGCAAATATTTTTTTAATGTTATTACAAACGTCAATGGCTGGATAATTGCCCCCTTTCTTG